AAATGCGAAAATAAACATTCACCAGCTCATAGCAGGCGACTCGACGACAGTACGAAGATGCCAGTAGGCTCATTGGAAAGGTGAGACATTCAGCTTTTTAATTGAGTGGTCGACGATTTAATTATCATAAAGGGTTGTCGAGAAATTCACGAAAAACTGAAAAAACGAAAAAAATGCGAAAATAAACATTCACCAGCTCATAGCAAGCGACTCGACGACAGTACGAAGATGCGAGAAATTTACGAAAGACTGAAAAGACTGAAAAAAATGCGAAAATAAACATTCACCAGCTAATAGCAAGCGACTCGACGACAGTACGAAGATGCCAATAGGCTCTTTGGAAAGGTGAGACATTCAGCTTTCATACGAGTGGTCTATTATGTAATTATCTTTTTCAGTCTTTTCAGTCTTTCGTAAATTTCTCGACAACCCCTTAAGATAATTACATCATCAACCACTCGTATGAAAGCTGAATATCACACCTTTCCAACAAGCCTATAGGCATCTTCGTACTGCCGCCGAGTCGCCTGCTATGAGCTGTAGAATGTTTTTTTTTCGCATTTTTTTCACCTTTCCAATGAGTTCACTTAGCTGCGTATCTTGTGCAATTTTCACTTGTTTGTTTACCGTTCTACGGTATGCAACATTAAATGCAACTAATGTGTTATCAAATCACATCACATTTTCGTTCATCTAATTTCAGCGACCGTAGTTTTATTTTTCATTCAAACTATTCTTAATATCTATTTTTTTATATTTCTGCTGTTACACCACAAATTTTTGTTGATTTTTTGGGAATCGAACCAACGACGTTTCGTATCAGATTTTCTTGATACAGGCGACCCTACTCTATAATTATATTTTAAGATTTTAATTAGGAAGGTCGCCTTCACTACACTTGGTAACTCTTGGCAGCGTCCTGTCGGCCCCTTTATGCCTTTTTGCCAGTCACTGTTAATATTTTTTTTCCATCGGTTGTTTTTGTTGTTTGCTGCTTTTGTGTTGGTATTACAGTTAAATACTAAATAAGTAAGTTTTGCCAACCACTCAATTTTAGTTTCCACTGTTTTGATTGATCGTAGTGATTGTTGTGCAAATTGACAATGGGATATATCTGTGTGTGTGTATATAATGCATAGTGTTATATTTGGTTGGAATGTTTTAATGAATTAATTTTTGTGTGGAACGGACAGCAGAACGGGTGGTCGTGGCGGTGCGTCAGCCGCGGCTCCAAAGTGAGACCGGCTGCAAGCGTAGAAGATGCTCTGAGTGCTCGAGCGCACAAAGCCCCCCCTGTAATTTTGGAATCAGCCCCAAAAAAGCAATCACCATCCCCCCGAACACAACAATAACAAACGAAAAGTACGGACAGATTTCAGCAGTAACTCGATTCCTATGCACGGTTATTATACGTCTTTCTTCTTTTTTTTTTTCCCTATTAAAACAATTTATCAGAGTAGACCAACGCCAAGCGAGATCGTCGCAAGATTCCGTTTCTAGGTTAGAATCAGCTAAAAGGTTTGCTGTTTCAGTTGCCATGGAAGTACCTACTGATCCAAAGCCGAAGAAGTTTGTGCTGGCCTTCAAGCCAAACACACTGCTGAGCAATTCCCAGCTAATGCATGATGACGGCAGTAAGAGGGACGGATCAGAATCACCGCAGGCCACTGATGACTTCCTCACCATCATACCTAAGCCAACATTGCTTAGTAAAGAACGGGCGAAGAAACGGTTGCAGGCATTCAGTTCACAGAAGTTATCATCACCTGTTGCCATCAAGAAACCTGTAGTTAAGAAAGTGCTGGAAATCAAAGAGGAGAAATTCGATGATGAGCAAGTTTTGACAGTGGAGGAGAATAATGTGTTGAGGAAACCGTTGATCTTTGATGATAGATTTGAGCTAAAGACAAAGAACACCATCTATCAAATTGGGGACGATCTGAGGAAGCAGCAAGATGATAAATTAGAAGCACCTGTGCAGGTGCAAAGACACCCAATATCCCATTCTCAGATGAAACACAGGAGAGGTATGCTCCAATTGGTTTTTAAACACTTTCCAGCAATTTATTATTGATATGTTTTAGCGAAAAGGGAGAAAATGCATAAATATCATGGCAGATCACAGCCTAGAGAGAGGAAAAACTCTAACAGGTATCCTATTTGCTGGGATGACTTCAGGGATGGCAAGTGTTGCTTATCGGAAATTCGGAAGATGAACGAACTCTCAGAAATGTGCACGAAAGAGTAAGTCGGTTGAAAATCGATTCTTTTGGTTTGATTTATTTTATTTTGTAGTTTCGTTAAGACGTCCAATTTTGAGGTTCCCAATATGACTTTGAGACAGTTCAAGTATAGACGGGTGTCCGGGAAAAAGAAGCTCTCGATACCGTTGCAATACGTGCGCTTCACGTTAACCGCACCCAGGGTGCCGTACAGCGTGAACCTCAGGCACATGCCGCAACCTGTGTTCTGCACGGTCAAACAGGTGCAGGAGATGATGCCCAAACGGCAACGGGAATCGATTAAGAGTTTCATGAAGAGATTGGGAGATGCGAAAGAGTCGCATCATCAACATCATCATCATCAACATCGACACTGGTACAGTAAGGATGTTCTCCCCAATTTGGTGCATGTCAAAAACGAAATGGAGAGCAGCTCCAGGAGGGACGAGGATTTTAAGCAATTCAGCAACAGAAGCAAATCAAAATCAGAAGAACGCCATAGGCATTATAAGCAACATAAGTTTGAAGAAATCGGTAAAAGGTATGAAGGGGAGAGTTTTAGAAATTTGGATGAAGTTAAAATGGAAACTGCAGCTGCTGCAAACGATCCCTACGAAATGCACTATCATCATCGTCATGATTATCAGGACAGTTATATTCAGGAGCACGTCAAGAGTAAACACGAAGAAACTCGACCGGAGATTATGAATTTTTACAATTCGAAATACAAAGAGGACGTGGATAGTTTTAAGACCAAAGAGGGCGTGCATCATTTCGCCAATGCGGAGAGCGAGGAAACCGATAAATTTAAGACTGAAATTCTTGTCAATAACTTTATTGATACGATTGCGCTTCCGCCCGACAAGAATACGTCATCGTCAGAGAAGCTGGTGTCGAGCAGTACGAGTGAACTCTGCAAGGAGGAGGAGGAAGAGGAGATTTCGTTGCCACTCGTCGGTGATGGCAAAGAGCAGATACACGAGGTAGAATCCAGTAAGACGGAGCAGGTTAAAGAAAATTCGAACGGCGATGAACCGAACACGGATGAATATCGATCGCACTGGGAGAGCGAAGGCGAAGGGGAAACGGAAATAATGGCGCAAAGCAATAAAGCGAACAACTGCTGGGAGAGCGACGAGGAGGATAAGATCTTCCCGCCACCGCGGTACGAGTGCATTCCGAGAACGAAGGACGTCAGCGAGCGTAGTCTGGAGATGCCGTTGAACATTAACCTGAGCAGAAGCAAACCGTTGCAGAAAAAGTTCAATCTGTTCGAGGATATTGAAACGAAGAGGAGCGGTTTGTTCATGGACGAGGCGTGGGAGAAACCAAAGGCCAGAGCAGCCGATCTCGAGTACGAAGCGTTGGAAAAGGAACGCAGGACTTTGGACGAGGAGCGTAAAAAGTTGGAGATCGAGAAGCAAAAGATCGCTGAGATGGGACGCAGAATACTAAATCAATTGGACGATAGCAAAGATGAATTCAGGGGGGTCGTCACCAAAAGCAACGCCAGTTACATCAATAAGAAGTTAAAGACTACGAGATGGGGAGACAACCCGTTGAAGGTCGTGTCCGAAGAAATCGCGAAAGGTAAAGAGGATTTGTTGGAGGATGAGTACGAGCAGTTCATGAAAGCTGTCGCGGTGGAGGAGCGCATCGTCAGCTCCAGCAATAACAGTTCTGATGTGAGCGACAGTTCATCGGAGAGCAGCGCTGAAAACGCAGCCGTTCCTGTAGGTTCGCCTCCTTCGGTCACATCCACCAACATCAGCAGCATCGATACGACCGGCATCGATTTAGATAATAGAAAACCCTTAACCTCGATCGTTTTGAATCGCAAAACGAACATATTGGATCGCTCCGTATTTAAGGAATCGGAAGACGAAGAGGAGGCGGAAGAGGACGACGCAGAAATGGAGGAGAAAGAGTCATCGCCTAAACGTCGAAAAGTTTCGGCGTCTCCATGCAGAGTGGTAGAGGAAAGAGAGAAAGCTTCAAAAGCACCACCGAAACGGAGCGACTGCATCAAGAAGAAGGAGCACTCGCCGCATCGTAGACACTCTCCGGTGTCGCGCAGAGAGCATTCACCAAGGAGACGGGAATACTCTCCGAAGAGGAGAGCGCATTCGCCAGTGCGCGGTAGCAAGCGAGGACGTTACTCCTCGCCCAGTCGCTACTCCCCTCCGTCTTCAAGGAAACGTAGAGATTTGTCGCCGAGAAGAAAACATTCGCCTCCACGGAGACGACACTCTCCACCTTCCAGATCGCGTCGCGATTCATCGCCTCCATCGTATCGTCGCAGGTATTCGCGTTCGAGCAGCAAAGAACCGTCTAAAACGGAGACGATTCAGCAAACGTTGCAACGGTTGGCCGGAATGGATCAGTACGAGCCAGTCTCAAAATCGTCGCCGGTCAATTCACCGCTGGACGGATTCAAGAGGAGTCTAGCGGATTCCACCATCAGTGACGAGCAACTCCTGCAGAACCAGGAGCAGCCCTACATGGAGCAGCAGTACTACGAACCAGTGAAGACGGAATCGGGAATAATCGGCTCTGGCTCCCCGAAACGCATTCCCCTTGACGATCGCATCAACCAAGTGCTCGGAATCGACGACAAGGACGAGCACAAACCCATCATCACCACATACGCGTCGCGCCAACAGCAAGCACAACACTACGAATCGTACAATTCGTACAATTATTGTTATAATGATCAGTTCAATAACGTTGATTACGAGCAGAAGGCGTACGAACATCAAAATTTGCGATACATGACATCGAAGAATCATCCGGATCCCACCACCAAAGTCGTGCAGGTCGGAAACGTGCTGCAGGTGGTGCCCACCGACAATTCGTTGCCTCCGATGCATAAGCAACATCATCATCTTCATCATCACCACCACCAGCAGCAGCAGCAGCAGCAACCCAAGGAAGGGGTAAAAACGGCGCAGCGGATCGTGCAGGTGGGCAATATGCTGCAGATAGTGCCGACGACGACCACGACAACTGAACTGCCGCTTCCTGTGGAGACGCCGAGGGAGACTTTGCTAGCAACCGTAGCAGCAGCAGCAGCAACAGCACCGTTATCTCTGCCGCCACCGATCCTACAACACAAACAATCTGCTGAAGATCTCATGCAGCTGAAGATTGCAGAGAGGAAGGCAGAACGGGAAAAGCGACGACTCGAAAGGGAGAAACGCAGAAAGGAGAAGGAGCGCAAGAGAATAGAACGAGAAAAACGGAAGCAGCTTAAGATAAAGCAGAAGACGGAGGAAATGATCAAGAAAGCGCTATCCATTGAGACCCCGGTAACGTTGAACGATGACGAGGAAGAGCCGCAGATGCAGTGGCCACCTGTCTCGTCGTTGCTAGCCTCCAGTAGCAAAACAACCGGCAAAGGGATCCTAATCAGGTTTGTACCGTGTGCTCATTCACTCACTCATTCACCAACGGTAATTCCAATTAAACTATACGATATTTTCAGAGGAAAAGAGACTGAGGAGTATTCGGAGAGGCCGAAGAAGGGCGTCAAGTTTGCGGACGGCATCATCCCCGGCGAGGGAACGTCCCCGTCCGGCGGAGAGGAGCTCTCGTCACCGCCACCGATCGTCGAAAGATCCAAGGAGAAACGTTTCACGAAAACAAAGAAACCCAAAATTAGACATCCAAAGAAGAAAATCAAAGTAATAACATTAGATAATTTCCAAGAACAATAATATCTACTATCTGTTTGTTTGTTTTAGGTGCAAATCGTGAGGAAACGAAAACGCGAATCGGACGAAGAGGATGAGGACGGTCTACCGTTGCCTCCGCCCTCACCGCCACCCGGCTCACCGCCGCCACATCTCTTTCCGCCACGCATCAAACCCACGCCCAATTTCTCTGTACTGCCGCCGATGGGCCTCATCTTCAACAGCCAGCAGCCGCCACCGATGCCCGAGGCGCTGCAGCCCCAAAACTACCCACCCACGTTGTCGTCGCCTCTCCTCAGGCAACCACCCAAACAACGTAAGTTGCATACTCTTATCAATCAAACGACATTCATATAATTATTATTGTTTTTGCAGTTAATCACAGTATTAAGCCACTTCCACAGCAGGTGCAGCCGCCGGGACTCTCCTCGTCCCATCACGGTTAAACTATGATGATTATGAATATTATTTCTTATTATTATTTTTTTTAAGTGATTGACAACCCTTTTTTTTTACTTTCGTACATAATCAAATTATATTTTAGTCAATATGTAAAGCGAGCGAGAGAGAGGATTACCTCGAATTATTATGTTTCGTTTCAAGAAATCATAGAGAAATAGAGAGTGCATCAATGTTTTCTTTTTGTGTACATTTGTATATAATGAAAGAGAGATGCAAAAGCGTTTTCCAGTGCGAGAAACAAAAATAGAAATCATTTTTAAGTTGTCACTATGTATGATATGTTGTTTTGTGTACATGAATATGTTCATTTCGTTTTTTTTTTCTTCTTCTTCACTTTATATATATATATTAAGTTTATTATTTTTCAGAGGAGAAAATAAGAATTAAAAAAAAAAGAGAAAAAACCCTAAGTGTTGAAACTGTGTATCATCAGATATTATGTTATAAGGAATAAGTTTTAAAAAGATTTATTTATACAAACAGAGAGAACAAAGTAATAAAGTAATTCGTTTAAAACGATCCGTCGTTCTGATTTTTTTCCCCATCGAAATTTGGCTAAACTGCAATTGGATTTTGAATATAGATGTTGGCACTACTAAACTAAACGTGTTTTTGTTTTGTTGTTTTTTTTTGCACCTGACGCTTCAATTTTGAATTCAAATGTGCGTCACGAGAACCTGTTGCTGCACGTTTTTAGTTGAGAACGGTGAGAAATCGAATCGAATATTTTATTAATCTATTTAAATAATAACATTCGTTTATTTGTAAAAGAATTGGTAATTGTACTGTTTTGTTGACGGCAGTTGTTTTTCAATTTGAAACAATGAACGTCAACGACGGATTTTTTCGAAATTGGATGGTGAAATCGAAGAAAAATCAAAGAGGAAAAACCCTGAACCGTAAGAAAACTGTTACTGCTCTGTTTCTGATGAAATCTGTTAACAGTTGATCTCTGATGATCTCCAGTATTGACCGTGCAAGAAGGACTATCCTCCGAACAGAAGAGGACTAAACGCCATGGCAACGTTTTCGATTCAACTTCCAGCGCCAGCTCTGATCTGGCGTGGAAGAACAACAACAATAACACGAAGACAAGTTTGAATGGATCTGCTTCGACAAGATCGAATTACTCATCTGCTGATGGAAAGATCGTGCTTGGTAATGTGTAATTCGAGCAAATATGAATATGATAGACTTTTGATGTTTTAGCAATTACCGAGGGACGCGGGGAGGCCTCGTGCGAAGTGGGAATAGCCTGCTTGAACATCGCCGAATCATCATTGGTGCTATCGCAAATTTCGGATACATCCAGTTACGTAAACGTTTTGACGAAGATCAACATTATGGGACCGAACGAGGTATTATTAATAATAGTTTAAAGTTGTTCGAACATTTTCTATGCCTCTGCAGATTGTTATACCATTGACTATGGTGCAGAGTCGATTGACTGCGAAGTTGAAGCAGCAGTTCCAAGGTTTAAAGATCACGGCTATCACAAGGCAATGCTTTAACAAAGCGAACGGTATTGAATACGTGAAGAAAGTTTGCGCGCCCGCTTGGAACTCCATCTTCCTGATTCTGCAGCACAAGTAGTTAATGAAACGATTGTACGTATAAATATCTAACTTTCGTTCGTTCGCATCTTTCAGATATTACGCGCTGGCAGCGACGAGCGCCTTGTTCGCGTACATCGAAAGCAAACTGTACAAGTACTTTGCAAGCGAATCGATGAAGGTCGAGTATCAAGAGTCCGAGGGTTACGCGATCATCGACGTCTTCACAGCCGATAAATTGGAACTGGTGGCTTGCGCCTTGCCATCCTCCGACTCGAAATACTCCAGTCTCCGGGGAATACTGAACCATTGCGTTACGAAGATCGGCTCTAGAATTCTTCGCGCTACGTTGCTGCAACCACCGTGCTCACTGCAGGACATCGAGGAGCGACTGGATTGCGTCGAAGAGCTGATCCGTAATCCAGACAAGATCTATGCAATACAAGTTAGCTCTTCAATTTTCTTGGATTATAATAATGATTGAAATTCAATTGCAGGAACATTTGAAAAAGTTGACCAACGTGGATCAACTTCTGACGCTCGGAACTATTCTTCCGGATCAGGCGAACAACTGCTCAGGTCGTCAGCTGAATTACATAATGTTGTTGAATTCGCTGCTGAGATTGCTCGAACCACTGCTGGAGGTACTCGAAAACTTGCCGCAGCAATTCTTCGTCGAAGTTAGGGAGTGTTTGGGATGCGAGGAATTGGCTAAATTGAAAACAATGGTCTCAGAACTGATTCATTGCGAGGCGTCGCCTAGGTCCGGTGAACGCGGCACCATGGAGAGGTGCTTCGCCGTCAAAGCCGGCGTCAACGAGTTCTTGGACATCCTGCGGGAAAATTATACGAAACGCCTGAACAGCATGAACGGTAACAACCGCAATTTTTATTATTAATTTTAACTTTTTTTTTTAACTCTTGTTCGTAGAGTACGTTCAAGAGTTGGCGCGCGAGCACAATCTCAACTTGAAGTTGGTGGAAAACACCAAGAAGGGTTATCACATCGTTCTGCCGCTCGACAAGCGCGAGATGAGAGCTTCCAAAATGCCAATTCTGCCCAAGGAATTTATCCAGGTGCAAAGGTTGAACACGCAAATGACGATGAAGACGATGCAGATTCTGATGCACACGGCCCGTCTGGACGACGTCACCGTTGAAATCTTGAAATTGAGCAACGTGTAAGTATACGAGCAGCGAACAAATTATTGTATAGGAATGCATGCGTTTGCAGGATCATTTACTATCTGCTGCTCGAGACGCAAAAGAATCTGCCGATCTTCTACAAAGTGTGCGAGCTGGTGGCAAAACTGGATCTGATTCAATCGCTGGCGAAGGCGAGCTGCGATTTGAAGTACGTGAGGCCGAAGTTTCTCGATTTCCTTGAGATTCACGATGGAAGACATCCACTTCTCGATTACCTCTCCGACATCGAACCGGTGCCAAACTATACGGTAATATCTGTAAACTATATTAATTTTAAAGTTTTCTTTTAACATCTAACATCGTTAGTTCGCATCTCCTTACCACAACATGCACATAGTCACCGGCCCGAATGGTTCGGGAAAGTCGATTTTCATCAGGCAAATAGTGCTGCTGCAGGTGATGGCTCAGATCGGTTGTTTCGTGCCCGCTTCCTCTGCGACGTTCCGCATTGCCGACAGGATTTTCGCCAGGATTTACTTGGAGGATAACATGGACTGCGGTGCATCTGCATTCACCCTGGAAGTTCGTTCGTTTATGCAATTAGAATTTCTATAGATCTGTAATCGTGTACTTTAAGATGAAGGAGATCAAATACTTCCTCACTGCGATGACCAAAAGTTCGTTGATAGTCGTCGACGAACTGTGCCGTTCCACGTCGATCAAGGATGGAACAGCACTGGCCGCTGCCATCTGCGAGAAATTCATCACGCAACCGGCTTTCATCTTCTTCACCACTCATTACACGGACATCACCAGATTGTCGCAACTATACTACGGCGTGCAATGGTATATATTTCCATATTCGAACTGAAATCAAAAAGAAAGAGAGTAAAATTGTTTAATAGTTGGCAGATGGAGGCCACCGTTGTGGAAGGTCCCAACAGGAGACATCTAAAGTGCACTCACCGAGTCCTCCCTGGAGTTACTTGCCTCAAGGAATACGCCATTTACTTGGCCAAATGCAGCTGGCACGAAGACACCATCGAAGACGTCGAACTTATCCTCGAGCAACTGCAAAAACCAAAAGATGTGAGACTTGATTCGGTGATGGATACATAAAAAAAATATAAACTTAACTTTAGCTGCAGATGCGGTACGCCATAGAACCACCGGCTCGCCTCAAATACGATCTGGAATCGGAACTGAAAATCATGAAGAGCAAATCAGAATTGACCGTTTCCGCGCTCCACGATAAGCTAACCGCCTACCAGATTGATCTAGAGAAGTTCGGAATCACGATGCGATTGGATGAAATACGTGCACCTGGAGGGAATGAAATGAAAGCAGTAGACAACGATATGCAGGATGATGATGATGATGACGACGATCACGTAAACGTTGAAGAATATGAAAATGAAATGGAAATCAACGAAAAGTACGTGCTCGAATTCGAGAGTTCAAAGAGTTTCGTTACAGCAGAGGTGGAAGCAGAATCGCCGCATCCAGATAATAATAATGCATGCGATTTAAAAAAACCCAAATCACCGGATTTATTATCGGTGAATGAGCTTCAGTTTGCCGTGAATCTGCTGCGAGGAGAGAATTTCAGGACTTCAACTCCGATTTCGAGTGTCCGCAATATCGATAATGGGGAATCGGAAAAAGTCGACGATGTGTTGTTGGAGGTCGTGCAGAATGAACAAAGTCGCGGCTGGGAAAATATAGAGGGTCGCTCATTTGATTGCACGAAATTGGTGAACGATTTCATCGAGAACCCGAAGCACATCCTCTCCGATATTTCACGGATCATCTGCGAACTTTCGATGGATTCGCGTCAGTGCACGGAGATGAACGAGATTGAAAAAGATTCTGACCGAAAGGAGGATATCGACGACAGCATTTTCCTTCAAAATACGGTGCCGATCGACTGCGAACAAAGTTGGCAGAAGGAGGAAAGACGCATTTGGTCATTAAATATTAATGCAGAATTCGAAGCGAACGACAACGTGAACGATTCGATTAATTTGAATGACGAATGGATTGCGAACAACTCAAAAAATGGAGGAAAATGTAATTCCACATTGCCAAAATTGGACGCGTTTTCTGTAGATTTGGGAAATGCAGAATTGAGGAATATCGATGGGGGGAATGTTATTTATGAGTCGCCGTCGTCATCATTGATTGCTGGCGGTGGTAAACGATTCAAATTGAATCTGGAAACCGATGGTAGCAATCAAATGATGATGAAACCATTATCAAATATATTTGAGGAGCCTGCGGCCTTTGCCGACTTCTCCTATCAAGACGAGGACGGACGCATAAGTGTGGAAAAGCACGAAAAAGTTAAACCAGCACGACCGTCATCGTTGAACGAAGAATTGTCTACGCGGAATACGGATTGCGAGGATGTAGGTGGAGGAGCGGAATTTTCCTCCTTCGACGATTATCAAAGTAGTTTACGGAAGAAGGCGGTGCACGAGTTGAGCGTGAAGGAGATCAACAGTTTATACCGAGCGAAGGATATGGAGCTGAAGGAGAGCGGTGACGTGGAGGCATACGGAAACGAAATCGCGAACAGACCGAACGCGAAACAGATTCGAGCGATCGAGAGTATCGCGACGGCGTTTCGAACGGCCAACGGTTCCGTCGCCATTCCGAGCACCTCCAAGAGGAAACCGAAACGCCCGAACAAGTCTCGATTTCAGACGCCGCTCAAGTTTGGCGCTTCGTTCGACGTGAGCGTCTTCAGCGACAAGAACTCGACGATCTTCCACGAATTGATGCGATCGGATAAAAGTGGACGCGGCGACGATTTCGATTACATGAAATTCAAGGCTACATTCGATAAGAACGCGACCACCTCGTCCTGTCCTCATCGGTCGTCAGATGGGAAAACCGATTTCTACAAGAGAAACGAAGACGAGATGAACAGAATAATGCAGAAATATTTACAAGATAAGTGAAACTATTTTACATTATTTAGAGGCGTTAAAGGGGGATTCGAAAATCTTTTGAGGGTTGGAAATCAAGTTGAGTTGTTGCTTTCGTTGTATTTTTTTCTTTTCTTAGAAAAGTGCATTCTTTATTTATTTATTATTGGTTCGATTCATCCAGTAGTATCATTATTTTTCCTTTCTCATTATTAAATACAAATGCTCTATAGATGGAATCTGTATGTACAAATATTTCGCGTGCCCATCTCGTAAAACACGGAACATTCATATATTTTTTTATATATATATATATAATTGTACAAAAAATAATATTATTATATTGAGGATGGAGGGCGGGAAGGGGGTTGGGGGTGTGTGTGTGTACGGTGTTGATGGTGGTAGTAAGTAGTAGTAGTAGTAGTAGTAAATACAAATAATTATTGTTTCTTCTTTAGGCCTTTTTTGATGAAATATATAATAGTACAATGTTATAATAACACGGAAAGAAATAATAATAATAAAAAAAAATAATAATTAAGTAACAGAAAAGAAACTTATCGTTCGCATTCAATGAGACCTCACTCGCTCACTCACCTCACCTCCATCTATCATCCACTCATCCTTCGCATTCTCACTTGTGTCATTTAATTGGCTGAATGCTAATAACATCTCTTCGATCTGCTGTTAATGTTTTCATGGAAAATACTAAGCACAAAGTTGTTTGTTTAAAATACTTGGATAGATATAATCAAAAATGAGAATAACAAGACATCATTTTTGTTATTTTTATCTGTCGATTATAAACATTGTGGAAAGCTGCCTATTACGAGATGAGATGAAATGAGGAGGAGGTGATGGTGATGGTTTCTTGAATTGGAAAAAATCAATCACTTTTACAAAAGGAAAAACAAAATTAAATTAATGGCACATAGAAAACGAAACATTGTTCCAATCTCTCTCTCTTCATTCACTCGAACAACAATCGTTCTTCTTCTCGCGCACATTCTTCTGCTTGCTTCCATTTTTTCTTCTTCTCTTTTTTTTTGTTGTTATTTTCTGTTGAAAAATACTGTTTTTACCTACTAAAAAAATATATAGTATATCTACACAATTCACAATTAAAATATAAATAAGATTTTCTTCGTCTCACATTCTCATCAATTAAATTAAAATATACAAAGTGTTACAATTCGTGTTGCATTTCCATATATACATATATTTCTAGACATACATGCATATATATATATATATGTATATGTATAGGAGCAAAAGTTTCCTCACCTTCTCATGCCCTATCATAAATATTAATATAAAAATTCACATTTAAATAATTAGAAGGTTGAGGGGTTTGTGTGTGTATGTGTGTGCATTTGTATGACGGACGACCTGTGTCAGTGGGTTTTTCGAATTGTGATTGGAGGAGGACGAGGGTTTACTGTCATGCTTTTCGTGATGAAAACTAGTTGTGAAGTGATAATCACTATTATCCTATAATAGTCATTAAACCCGTTTCTTTTGTTTTCCAAGTATCACAACGAAGAGTCAGAGGAGATAAAATTAAATATTGAAAAAAAAAAACAAAGAAATAATAAAGGTCGTCGTAATAGTATGTAAATGTAAATAATGCTAGTAGTAGTTGTGGAGAGAGAGCTCTAAGTGAAATCGCCTATAAAGGAAATCATTTCCTTTACGTTTCAAAGAAAAGGCACTTCTTATATCGTGTAATATTTGCGTGCGTGTGTGTGTGTATATGTGTTTGGGAGTATATGTACATCATATATACATATATATATATATATTGCAACAATCGTCGTCAAACCGAGACAACCAAGATTTTAGACCGTGTGGACGACATCGCAACAGCAGACTACTAATGTAGAAAATGACACGGAAAAAAGGAAATGAACAAAACGGAAAATCGTCGCGCCTACTAGAATAAAAACAAGTAATAAATAATATCTACATGAAATAAAATCGTCCGCTTCCACACTGTTTCCTCTTTTCCTTATTCTACGCATTCTCTCTCTTTCTCTTACACACACACACACACACATACAGTCAAAAACACATTTTCAATCAATCTTTCTGCAAATTGTGCATCCCATAATCGAGATTGTGTCCTGGTCCCGGTGATGCTAGTGGTATTTTGCTCTCTTTTGGTCGAACGGTCGGCCGCCACCGTTCACCCGTTTCGCACTTCCAGCGAAATGGATGGGCGCGGAGAAGGTGGTGGAGGACGAGTTGCTGCTCGAGGTCGAGGAGGATCAGTCGATCGGTTTCACGAGGGCGTTAATCCTGCCTTCCCATAACGGAAGGACGTCCGTGTCGTTGCTAACCTTCAACTGGATGGCCTGCTTGTCCAATTCCTCGCATTCAGTTTTAAAAAAGTATCTGCAGAAAAGAGAATAGAAACGGTCATTCATTCTCCTCTTTCACAACATCATCAACTTACTCGTAGTTTCCTTTCTTTGGTAGATACTCCTTGAATTGCCTGAGTGTGATCTGTCTACCAGGAATCTTGGTCCTGTAGGGCAGTCGTTCATCGCAAAACGAGAAAACGACGCTTGTCACTTCTTCAGAGTCGTTGGTGCTCGGTCGCGGACCCCGCATCGATTTCCTCAACGTCGACTGGCTGCTCTGCGTCTGCATCTCCGGGTAGTATTTTCTGCAAACACAATCAATCGAAATAAGTTTCTACTAGTCCCAAGTGCAAATCTGCTCCTTACCTTTGCCTGGATCTCGTCCTCATGTCATCCTCCTTCAGTCTTCTGCGCGCCTCCTCCAGCTGCTCGTCAATGTTGGGCGGCGGCAGCAGCGGCATACCAGGATCGGGCATGTGCCTATTGGTGGTGGGCGAAGCGGCCGCATTCATGATGGGATGCGGTCGGTGCTTCGACGATGACGACGACGAAGGTTCGCTGCTCGTGTAGCTCGCAGAGTTCCGGCAATCTACATCCTGGTGCCACAACCTCTGATTCTTGGCGTGCGCTGTCGGCGGCACATCAGAGTACACGGAGACGCCGCTGTCAGTAAAATCGTTCAACGTCTTCTTCGATGATGTCACACTACTGCAACGGTAAAAGAAAGAACATTACATTAGCGATGATCAGACGCACACGACGTGCGTTGTACGTACCACCGTCTGTTTGGATTGTTGCCACGCATGAAGCGGTCGCGTTCCGGCATGCTCTTCGACTTGACCATGACCTTGACATGATCGGAACCCTCGGCGTAGTCGTGCACGTTACCAGAGTCGCAACTGTACAACGAGAAACCGTCCTTGTCGAGACGGGCCGGTTTGTCTGGGAAAACGCGGCACACGTGCGCATCCAAAATGCCTTGATCGGTATCATCCTCGACCTGCAGTCGCTCCCTCATCACTTTGGCCAACTCGCGGAATTGCGCTCCCCGTCGACTCTTGTCGTTCACGTTGACGGCGTTCTCGTTCTCCTTCATCTTCCGACGGAGCCTCTCCTGCTGATCCTGATTGCGCTTCAAGTTCTCCAGCTTGTCGATGAGGATGTTGGCGAACTGATCGGGCGGCAGCGGCCGACACTTCTCCATGTCCTGCCGCTGCGTCCTCGGTATCAGCGTCTCCTGCATGTGCGTCTCCCGGTTCATTGCCGCATTCTGTCGCACCCTTCGCGCTGCCCTGTGCCTCTCGTCACTGCGTAGCAAACAAACAAACAAACACATTATTACACATTATGTCAGTTGCGCCTGTCACAAAAACATTCCTATATTTCGCGTACGGAAGCAATCTGCTGGCGCAAAGGATCCACATCAACAATCCGAGCGCGCAAAGGTTCGGAATCGGCAAGTTGCACGATTTCCGTTTGGATTTTGGAGCGTACTCGGAGCGTTGGAAGGGGGCCGTCGCAACGATTGTCGCGGAAAAGGGGGCATGCGTTTGGGGTGCAGTCTGGCGGATCGACGTGCGGGACATGCCAAGTCTGGATCGGCAGGAAGGCGTTCGTACCAACCAATACTTCCCGCTGGACGTGGAGGTGAGCCTTGCAAGCAACGCGTGCTGCAACAAGACGTACACCTGTCGCGTCTACCAGCAGTACCGGACGGAAGCGTCAGGGGTCATTGATTTGGCCAACCTCCCTCTGAACAGGAGACCCTCGCCCGCCTACCTGCGTACCATCCAGTTGGGTGCGGAGGAATCGCGGCTGCCCGAAGATTACAAAAAGTACTTGGCCGCGATCGCAGACAACGGCTACGAGGGTGATATTGAAAACAACCTCAAGTTGTTAACCGATAAGACCAGCACCACTACCAATAACTCGAGCAACTTTTGAATCATGCAAACTAAACTTGAAAAAAATAGAAGTAAAAAAACAGCCATGCACATATAACAGTACCTGTGTTTTCTTTATGGTAGTAGTAGTAGTAATAGTAGTCGGTACAATAATTATACGAGTATACGAACGAATGGGATGCGATCGAAGATACTTACATGGAGCTTCCGGTCCTTGACAATTTGTCCGATTCTGTGCGGGCGTCCGAGTGCGAACTGAGCGACTGTATCTCACTGTCCTGTCTCGAGACAGGATTATAAGAACTGTACTGGTATGGATGAGCGGAACCTCTGTACATGCTGAACATTTCGCCAAAACGCAAATATACGAAAAAAACGAAAAGTACGAGGGAAAAAAAATCAAAAACCAATTAGCAAAAGAAAAATACAAACAAAACAATAATCAAATAAAAATGATAGTAATTATAGCATACAGCCTAAATATGTATGAAAAGCTGCAGGCAAGAAAAAAGAAGGATGTGAAAATGCTGAACTTACTTTGCGGCGTAAGCCTCGGGTTTAGGTCGCACGTCCATCGCGCGATTCTTCTGCGTGAGAAGAAGCATGTCCTTGGTTAATTTCATGGGGCCGTCGAGGGTCGGTGTATCGTAGCCGGTGCTGGTGCAACCGGTACCCGGAGTGTGACCATGCGCGAGCTGCTGCTGCTGACTGAATTCCGAATCCTCGTAGATGATCGGCAGAGGGTCAACGCTACACGCAAGACTCGCTTCTCTGGAAGATCTCAAATCGCCGCCCGTAGGATTTTGGACAGTCTAAAATTGATACGAATGTTAAATGTCTAATCAACATTTTAAGGATTATACAAAACGTACCTGAATGTAATACAGGTACTTGTCGCTTTTAATGAAATTGGCGTAGGTGGTGAAGTTGATGTGACGTTCCACCTGCGCCTGAGCCTCATCGTAAACGTTCTGCACTTCCGACGACTTGACCCGTCTCGTCACCTCCCTCTTGCAGTCTTCACCAATAGGAAGAGCGGATTTAATGAAAAAACGCCTGAAACAAAAAAAAATCAATATTATTCTGTGCCGACCTCGTGGGTCGGGATCACGCTCGAACTCACTTGTATATAAATTTAATAAGTTGGGTTCGGTTCGGCTCGCTCTGCTCGCGAAGTCCTTCGCACGCGAACCAAAACTCGAGCGCATCCACGTGCGGCTTTCCCTCTTCCTTGAGGTACTCTTTGAAGAGATCCACGCCATCCGGATCCTCCAGCAGACAGTGGAGCGATCTCGCCCACTCAAGGCACGCCAGCGGTGAAGCATTTCCATCGTAGCATCGTTCCTCGCGCGATGCTATCGACTCGCTGCTACTCTTGTAATCTACAAATTGACAAAAAATATTATTATAATCCATTGCATCGATATGCACAAATACCATTACCATTTTGAACGACCGTTTTCCTGGGATGTCCCGATTTTGGCGACGGATGATATTCCATCTGGCCAAAATCCGAGACGTACGGCACCCTTTCCTCCCCAGGCACCGGTGGCCTGGGTGACTTCCTATCGAACACACCACTGTCGAACACATGGCTGGGGTTCTGCTGTCTTCGGCTCATGATTCCTCTCTCCACGTCCACTCACTCTCTTTCCTCTTATTTCTACACTGCTGTTTCTTCTTGCGACAACTACAAGCCAACAACTTATGCTTCATTTCGATTGGAAGTCTGTAAAATCAAATAAAAATCAAAATATTAAAATCAAGCTCAATATAAAAACAAGGAAATTAATAATCAAGTAAGATCTAACTAATGTTAGATAATATTAAATTTGAAAATGGAATAAATAAAAGGAGGGGCAGAATAAAATGATCCCCTAATTAAAATGGTGCAGTCCCGTGCCCATCACATGAATCAATTCACAGCATCCGGATGGGAGAGAAAATGGACTCAACCGAGAGAGCTCAAAGAGGGGTGGAGCAGAATGAACCGATCAATACTGAGACTAAACATTCCATATACATACATACACCATTGTAATTGCAAATAATCATAATGAAAAACCTTATAATATCATGGGTGTGCAACAATGGAAAATATAATTTTTAATACGGGGCCATAACATAAATACTGAATACACAAGGACTAGGTAAAAACACCTCTAAACAAAAGCATTCCAGGTAGAATATACTTACTAATAAAGCAATGCAAGTCAGATGTTTTATATATTAAAAAAAAAATGCAGTTGCCACACACACACATAATATATGTTTTCAATAATAAGGGGGGTTGAAGAAGATTCACTTTGAACTCACCATTGTTGCAAGACAAAAATAATGAAAGTAAAAAGAGCTGATGGAAGGTTGCGACAGCTGATGGATTTATGAAATTTAATATGCACTCAATAATAGTATTATGATTATGCCTTCAGGTATATTTATATATCCTATTATTATATAATAATGGAAATATTAATTTTTATAAAAGAAACACACAGAACACTCGCAGAGAGAGAGAGAACTCTTATTGTGGTGGCTTGTGCCCTGATGGACAGCGCAATAAGAAATGAGAGCCATAGGGGAAGGGAAAGCTGCGCAAGCAAAAATTCACCCGGATGAATTCATGTGGGGTGGACCCAATTCAAGCTCCTTCAATCGATGCACAGATTATTACTAAACAGAGCAACATGAGAAGGGTACATTTCAAGTTGATGAAGAGTATCTGAATAGTACAGCATTTGAAAATATGATGTGTTACTCATGCATTCATTATGTTTGTGTAACTAAGAATGCGAAAAAATTGTTGTTGTTTTCACGATAATTACGATTAGGTTTATATCGAAAGTAACCTTTTACTTACTGGGACTGCATCATCTTCCCGAAACGTTCCACAAACAATTCGGTAGAAGCGAGCAATAAAACTGTCACTATAGTAAGAAAAGTTTTTGACAAATTTCAAACGGTCCCGAAAGACGCGACCGCATCAGAGCGAGCGCCCTCTGTCCAGCCCGAAACTAATCAAAGCAAAAAAGAGACGACGAGACGAAATTGGAGAAAAAGTCAAATCAATTAGACAATTCCGAACAGCAATTAAATGCAATTGAACGGCCCCCCGAAACGTTTAATTTATTCACGGTTTTAAATTAAACGCAATTGAACGCGCACGTCGCCGCGACATCTGACGGGATAACTTGGATTTAATATGTAGCAGCAATAAGCAGAATTTGAACATTATCGATGTTATTGTAGAATATAAGAAAATAAAATGAGCAAATTAAAAGAAACAATCGATAATCATTGGTTGATGAACCAACAGGTGTTGAATTTTGATTTAGTAGTACGATCAGCGGAAGTGGAATTAGTTGACAGCGCGGGAAAGTTCGAACGTGATTGAGATGTTTCGAGTCTATCAGAAAAAAAAATATATGAATGTAATGAATTTTGAGCTTAAGCTCGGGGGCATACAGGTATGGGTCGAGGGAGGAAAGGAAGGCGAAGAGGAACATAATGAGCGGTTGCGCCTCGGGATTCGGACACCTTTGAAAATTACAGAGTTCACGGCGTATTATGGGGCTGCGGCGTGTCGAATGCGCGTTACCCCCATGGAAAATTATTACCACGAAATGAGAGGAAAGAACAGCCGTTACCGTGTGTGAGTGTGTGTGGGATTATTTCATGATACGCGACGACGAATAGAAACAAACAAAATGCGGTAACCACGGCAACAATATCAACAGGTTGGCGCGACGGAGATGGGGTTAGAGGAGGGTGCGAGGCGGAGAAAGATGAGAGGCGAACGTTAATAACCATAAATAATGCGAAGAAGAAGAAGAAACACACTACGGCGAGGTGAGACGGGGAGGACGATCGTCCGTCCGCCGGGCAGCAGCGGAGGCGAAGAGGTGGTTTTAATGCTTCGGAAGACGGCGTTATTTCTTTGAAGCCCAGCGGCGGTCATCACTGGTGCAGCGAGCGGCGATGCCGCGGTTGCTGACCTCCACTAGTCTGTCAAACGCGGCGACGACGACTGCGGTACCAAAACTTTTACGTTCACAAACGCACGTATACAACCAGAAGAGAGAGCATAAGAAGGACGAGTGAGCATCGTCAACATGCAGCAACCCCTGAAATAAATGCAATCAGGGAAAAAAACAAAAAAAAAAGAGTCTTCCATCCCCTAAACCGAACCACTTCGAACGCACAGCCACCCACACCCATACGACAACGTATTAAACATTCAAAAGCGTTTCAGAGCGTGAAAGGAATCTCGTGTACCGGCGCCAAATGGCGTTTACATGTTGCCAAATTTACCAAACTCTTACTAAATTTCCATTTTCCAGAGAGACAGAAAAAATAAGACGAAATCGCCAACCCCACAATTTCCTTTAGTACCAACAAAAAAAAAACTATCATCGAATCGCTTAGATTAAATAACATTAGCAAATCAAAACAACTATGGTAGTTAGGTGATGTCCAACACGCACTTGATGTAATTTGTCAAATAACAAAATACACTTCTTAAATGTTATGAAACAAACATAATTACTACCAAATAAATCATTATTAATGACTGGCATTATCTATTTGTATACGCAAAATCGGAAAGGAGTCGTGACGTTGAGTAATCGAATATGGAAATTGTTTTTTTATATTATTATTATTATAATCCCGCGGGAAATCGCACGACAATTATCAGCTGATTCACTTCTCTTTTTTTTTGTTTTAATTTCGCCCGGCACGCGAATCGCAATTAGCTAATGAAGATGTATCCGTTAGGGGTGGCGATCAGGTCAGAAGGGGGGATCACTAATTAGCAAATTGTTTGGAGAATTGTGCTGCATATACAGTTTAGCGGTTTTAATTAAACAAAAACAAAAAAAAAAGAGGACGAAAAGACAGAAAGGAATATACACACATGCACGAGAAACAAAATAAACAGGAAAATTTAATAATGTATGGATGCGTGTGTGCGTGCGACAGAGAGCCGGCCGTTCTAGGGATAGCAGTGGTGTGTATTGGGACGCTTGTTTACGTGGGCGAATTGCTCAAAGGAGGATTACGGGGGATGATTAGTAAATAGACCCGATAATGTGCATACGGCGAAACGAAAGAGCGAGCGAAAGAGAGAAAAAAAAACACAAACATACACACACACAATAACAAAAAAACCTTTTCGGGCTTATCTTAGTCAAACGCAAACAGAACAGGGTGGAAGGGCAGCAGCAAGGAGTATAAAAGGTTCGCGTTTCCTCCTTGGATTCGCAGTCAACCGACGATCAACCCCCCACGACTAACTAACAACAATAACAAAAAAAAAACGAAAGATGCTTTTCATCCGATCGCAAATGGCCACCATCTTCGTAGCTATCTTCCTGACATTCACGGCCCTGACCGCGGCTCGCATCATAGAGGTAAGAGAACGGTATCATCTTCGAATACGAACACTAACTAACACGACCCACACAAGCAGGATCCTGCGGATCGTTGCATCTGCTTCAGGAAACCCCAGGAGGCGGAGGCTCTGCTCAGTCTTTTGAAGGAGGCCACTTCCATCGATAATCAGGTCAAACGCAACAGCGAGATGACCGGCAACCTTATGCAGCTCAGCAATTTGATGAAAATGTTGAAATACAATTGAGGACTTTTACCAAAATGAAAAATTTGATGCGATTGTAAGTTGACGAAGATGAATAAAGAAAAGCAAATTTAAAAAAGAAAACACGCTAATTAAAGTAAAATTAAACCCAACGCAGCAATTTCCAATTAAGAAATAAATAATTTACCAACCAAAATGTCAACAGTTCCGATGGATGAGAACCATGGAGAAGAGAAGGAAAATCTCGTAACAAAAGCGAGCGCCACTAAAAATAAAAATAATCTGAGCGCTATCGATGGTTAAGGCAACTTATCGCTCTACGATCTACTGTTCTACTGTTTTTCAATTGTTGCTATCTATAAGCGGTGGCGTCGTCGTCGTTTTTATCTACGAAATCTGCAAGCTACTAACTCTCAAATCTACTTACTACTATTCCTTAGTTTATTCATAAGCTCTATTAAAAAAATTAGCATATGGAAGAGATAAAGTCAGATAATTAGAATAAATAGATTTATCTCGTTAGAAAGATAATGTCCGGATAGATATGTGTGTGACAATTTATATCAATTAATTTGCAGTTAAAATTGATGGATAACACGTAGAGAAATTGTCAAAGGAAAAGTAGAGTTTTATATTTGAAAATTGAATAAATGAGGGAAGAAATGCACTTGAAAGAGAATAGCGAAAGAAGAGAGGAGGAGGAGGAGGAGGGTGGCTTTGCGTGCAATAATTGAGAAAAGAAAATGAAATAATGAACAAAAATAAGTGGGTGGAAGAGAAAGGAAAGTCCAAAAAAAAAAGTACACACACAGATAGAGTGGATATATGCACTCAGAAGAGTACATTTAATATGAGTGACTGTGTGTGTGTGTATTTGCAGGCTATTATTTGCGAATTGCGGTGCCTTTTAACACGTCGGTTCATCATCAAAGACGCGGGCGGCCCCTTTGAAACGATTGTGGACATAAAAATTATAACTCCCTTTGATGACACCGAAACGACAGTTTGAAGTCACTTTACTTTGTGACTCCTTTCTTTATTGAAGAACAGCGGGAAGGGTGGAGGAGGAACGGGAAGGGAGGGAAAAAAATAGTAGAATAAAAGTGGTTGCGGAGGACAGAGATGATGAAGAAGAACGGAAAAAAAATATATCACACACACACACGCGCTCATTTAGTCCCATGGCGTACTATATAGTCTGAGCTCATCTCACGATTAGAGTACTTTGGGGATTCAAAGGAGAGATAAAAAAAATAACAAAATGTATATATCTGTGTGTGTGTGTAACACGTTTGGAATTCTACAGAAGAAATAATTGTGAAATCCCGAGTGGATTTAATCTCGCAATTTTCTCCTTCCCTTTTTGTATGCGTGTGCATTAAGTTACCTTTTGTTCCGCACACATTCTATCTACCTACAGGATGCACCTTTACTATATATTCCACCACTTTATTTCATTCTCTGATTCACTTCTTTCTAATTATGCTTCTCTTTTTTTTGTGTGTGTGGTGATTTCACCGAAACGGAGATGGCAGATGGTCCGTGGGTCCGGGCAGCTGCCTTCGAACTGATCCGTTTCCGATAAAAACGAGGAAAGAAAGAGCGGAGAGAGAGAGATTCGATTCGCCTCTCTCTAGAAGACGCTTGCTAATCATCCGGTTGGGCTGCTGCAACCGATGTGCAGGTGACGTTTAGCCTGAATGTAAAAATTTAATCGAAAGGGGGGCGACATTTTAAAAGGGAAACCGATGAAACGTTTAATTCGAAGACTACACGTCGTCGTCGTCGTCGTCTTGGGACGCGATGGAATATATCTTGGACAACTTAATTAGATTCCAACGAAAATAGACGACGTCTCGAATAGTGCGAGTGAGCCGTAAAAACATACAAGAGAAGAAAAGAGCGAGAGAAAGCGTGTAGTGTGCGTCGACGTCGTCGTCGTCGTCTGCTAGCGCCCACGACACCAAGTAAAATACAAACGTCAATGTCAATGCAGCAGTTGACGGTTGTTTTGTCTAGCCAGCAGCGTTACGTACGTACGTACACGCACATGTGATTGCTCCGGAAATTTCAATTTAACCAAATTTAGAGCTAAAAATTCACGCAACACACACACACAATTAGTATATAAAGTTCGTTTTACCTGTCATTGCTTGAACCTATATCTGGGGCATCATGACTGGCTACGGGCCGAACGTACCTGAAAACAAAAGAAAACTTGTATTAATATATTTTGTTGTTGTTGTTAATATTCCGTACGTAACGAGGCGACAAACAAACAAAAATGTGCTTATGCTCACGTACAACATTTTTCATAATCGACCGAAAAAAAATATTAACCGAAACGGCTCAAGGAAAATGAATAATTTAAACTAAATATATAGTGGTTAGTTGATCAATTTCCAAATTAACTTAGATCGACAGGATTCAGTTAGTGGTGGCGGCGGTGCCAGAAGAGCAGAGTAATAAAAATAAAAAGGGACATCCTCAGACACATGTTTCCGTGCGTGTGCATATGTCTTTTTATTTTTGCTTCTGCTTCTTCTTCATGCTTTTTTTTTCCATTTCGTCAAATGGGATTAAGTCTCGCACGACAATTAAGGTTCGTTTGATGTTCCGAACCTAATTTTAAGTGAACTAAAGTAGTTCTGTTTTTGTACGAACGTTGCGGAAGTGTAGAGAGAGCGAACGGCACGTGGACGTAACACCGAAACGATTCCGATCAATTAAGGCAATTAGGTAGGTAAGAGGACAGGACAATTGAATCGTACAATGATGATGATGATGGTGGTTGTTTTCGGTGGTTGTGCGAGTTGTACATTCATGCTTAGACGAGAGAAGAGTACAAGTGTGCATCAGATAAAAATCGCGCGGCTATCCAGGATCACTTTGTTCTTTATCGGCGGGGCCCGTCGCCGCGTTGGGGGCTTCGATAGTGTTTATAAGTTATCAGTTTGTGGCCGGCTTTGATGTCGAGCCGACACGCCGTCCTCCTCTCATTCCCCACCACCTCCGCCGCCTTCTCCTTCACTCTCGCATACACAAACGAACGAACACATACGACGACGACGGCGGCGGCGGCAGCGTTGTTGATTCAATGCCGCGCATTTATACGCTCTCTTGCAGCAATAAGAGTGCGGGCATCCTTCTCTGACCAATTAAAACCGGTATCCAAACGACCTCACGAGACACGACACGAGGAGAAGAGAGGCTACAAACTGTTGTTGCCGTCGTTGTTGTTGTTGTTGCAAACCGAGAAATAAAGAAGAAAAACAAAGCAGACGAAGAAATGTCAGTCGAAGAAACGAGAAATTCCTCTGCGATCTACCACCAACCAACCATTCATTCAAACGAGAGAGAACACACCAACTCGATTAATTAATACCAAACGTCAATCCAACTAATTTAAATATCCGAGCATTACTCTCGCTTGCAACAAACTCTGCGTGTAGAACAAAAAAAAATGAAGAAAATTTCAATATTAGGTATTGAGAATGACAAAAATGTGTAATATGATATTGCAATTCCGGAACGGTCAAAACGATATTGGAAAATAATCCTGAACTGTCGAGGTGTGAATCAATATGCAAGAGGGCGACGACGACGATAAACGACGTAACACAATTATTGATCCGATTTCCATTTAAAAATAGTAACATGCACCCCCCCAAAACAAAACAAAACAAAACAAAGCAACACCGGGAGGTGGTAACGCGACGAAAACGAAACTAAAAAACGGAATCGATGCGAAGCGGTCGCGGATTGGTCGTCGCGAAGCTTTCCCATTGGTACGAACGTAGCGCCATTTTCTTTGTTTGCTTTTCGCAACTTTAAAACAAATGCACCCCTCGTCGTCGTCGTCGCGACGTCGCGCGCGAAACAATACGCGTTGATTTAAACAAATTCAGAGAGCGTCGACGATGTGCACAGACCAAATATTGAAATTTAGAAAAAGAGAAATTGCATTCTACTTTTTGCACGTAGATAGTTTAAGGGTTGAACTTACGAGCACCGCTTAGACCTATGAAATATTCAAGGCTCACGTGGAAAGGGGTTGCTCACTCTTTATCCGAGGGCGCGAGTTGAAACAAAACAACAACAACGACACAACTGAAAAACAAGAATTGACTCTCGACACGAGATTATAATTTCAAAACCTACGCTCGGGAAGAACAGAACGACCAAAGAACAACAAAAAAAGAGTAATAATAAGTAAGAAAACAAAGGCGAAACTAGCCGAAACAAAAGGGGGAAAGTTGGGAGCACGCGATGCGGGATTAACATAATTGGGCGAAATTTAACGTGCTTTCGCGCCGCGCCGCTCCGTCTCCTTTCATCATCAAACAGAAAAAGTTGCGCTACTCTCGTGCATTATTTACCTATGTGATTTTTACGTTTCGAGCGTAATGTGCGTGATGGGTGACTCGAAGGGCGGCAGCAAAATAAATTATATATGTTGTGGATTAGAAGGAAATGAAAAGAAATTAATATGAATATTTCATATGATTACAGGCGAAAATACTTTCAATCTGAGCGAAGAAACGCAATTATCGAGCACGAACCAACAACAATAAACAACACATGATTTGATTGGGGATAATTGGGGCAAATCTTTGGTAAAACTTTTATCGAAGAGAATGATGCAACAATGACAATCATCAAAATCATAGTGAACCAACCGGTATACCATATTTGATGGATGAATGGAGCGAGCGACCGAAACCTCTCCTCGGCACACAGGCGCTTTCGTTTGAGTGCGTCTGGTGTGTTGTTGTCCCGATCTTTGTCTTGCCACCATCCCTGTCTCTCTCTCTCTCTCTTACATACACACGCACACACAGTTACTCGTCGTTTGTTTCCATCTTCCTCTCCTTTTTATTTTCGTGAAAAGCCGCCACCTGAAACCAGTTCCGAGCAAGAAGGAATCCTCCGGTCGGGCCCGATAAAAACTAAAATCGCATCAATTCCGAAGAACCGACGACGATGGCAGCGGCGGCGGCGGCACATCTTACAAACGAAGAGAAGAAGTAGAAGAAAACGAAGAGGAGGAGGAGGATGGACATGTATACGGAAAGAGAGTGTGTACGAGTGAGAGAAGCTGAATGAGTGAGTGAGAGCAGGAGGCAGGCAGGCAGGCGATATGATGTCGGCGCATTCCTCCGAACCATCCTTCGGAAAATATGATCAAATTAAAGACCGCTTACTTACTTTTTAATTACACACGACAGGGAGCGGTGCAGGGCGAGACAGAGAGAGAGAGAGAGACGAAGGAGAGAAGACCGAAAGGAAAAGATAAGAGATCAAGCGCAACCGAAGCCATCGAGAAACAAAACACGACAGAAAAAAGAAGAAGAAGAAAGGAGAAGGAATTAAAGAACATCAAAAACCCATTGCACGGAAGCGTCACGTCAAATTTGACGTTTCAACATTTTACGTGAAACGCAGATACATAGAGCAAGAAAGAGATTACCAAAATATCATTTACACATTTCGAATATTATTTTCGAAAAAAATATATATATACAAAAATGTCAACTTGACATTGACACCTGTCATTAATGAGTCGAGATTGACGTAATTAATTTTACAGTTTCAGCAAAGAATATCGATCGCAACGAAACCAATTAACGTTTGAACCGAATAATATACATTAGCAAACTGGCGCAAACAGAAGGAAACCCAAAATTAATTAATTAAAAGCACATTAAGTAGAGTTTACATTGTGCAGCGGCGATGATGCTAGATTCTTAATTAATTGAGAGAACCATCAATTTTATAAATTGCTTTTAAATATAAATGCAATAAAACGGAGCAACTATTACGATAAATTGAAACTTATTAATTGCTTTCTCAAAAAAAAAAACTATAAATCAATTAAGACATTGAAACACAAATTGGTATCAATTCGCAAATTAATTTATGTTTCTATTGAAAGTGTCAAAAACTGACATCAGATTAATTGCTCCAATAAATGTGACATTCGATCATTCTCAAATAATCTATATATAGGTTTGAACGTCAAACGTAATACAAATTAAAAGGCAAATTGAACTGGAAATTATTTACGAGTAAATGCGACATTTGCAATCTAGAATGTATTGAAAACAAGATGAATTTACTTTCCAAATTGAAACGTCATCCAAGTTATTTGCTTATTTTCAAAACAAACACTGCAGACAAATTGGAAAGTTAACTTGTCAAAAAAAAAATGAGATGAAAATAAACCAACCCCAGTCCAGACCGAAATTGCATTAGAATTATAGAAAATACCTGATGACAATAAGAGTTAACGACGTTGGAAAACTTTTCTTCTTGGCAACAGGTAAGAAACAGGTGATTTTTGAAAAGTCAAATAAGTGATGTTTATATGACAGTTGTTAATGCAAAGTAAACCGAACATCTCGATCAACGAAAGGAGAATGTCAAAGTTGGATTGCGCAATAGGGACGGTAATTGACCATCTCTTTTTCTCTTTATTGCTCATCGTCTCATCGTCGTTTTTCAACGCGAAGCGCGGGTTTATTTAACTGTGAGAAGTATGAATGTCTGTCTCTCTCTCTCTCTGTGTGTATGTCTCATCTTTGCTCACGTGTGTGTGTGTGTGCGAGCGGGCAATAAAACAAATCCCGCAAACTTTCATTCGCGCTTTGATCTTCGCTCGCTTGCAAAACCGGAGGAGGAAGCGAGACGCGAAATGCGGGAGCGGCAGATGAACGAGAGAAAGGGACGATAAAGCAAAGAAACGAAGAACAAAAAAAAAACGAGCCGAGTGCATAATAATACCACTAATAATAAATGTTTTTATCTTCACGGGCGAACGGACGGACGGATGATGATGATATTTTTCTCCTTTGCCCCTTTCACGGCGGTCGCGACGCCGCAGCCCCAGGTAAGGATAATCCTCACCTTTTAAGCCACTTAATTTCGTTCTTCTCTCCTTCGTTCACTCTCTCTTACAAACACACCCCTCCGTCCCGGATTCCATTTAACCGTCGGAATTCTTCTTTGGAAACCGAATGCATACAACCAAATTTCCAACTCGAACGCCAACAACGGACGTGTTGTTTCTTCCTCGTCGATAATTTCCGCCCAGCGACGATTACAATATATAATTTTTAGGTGAATTTGAAACGCAATTAACGGTAGGTGGCGGGATTCGAACGTTGTTATTATTGTTGCCCGTGGCAACCGAGCAAAGGGTATGAGCGTGTGTGTGTATGTATAGAGAGTGTAAGAGACAGAGAGAGAGAGAATGAAGTATGCCTTGTGCAGCGCTCTAGACGAGCCCACGTATTAAAAGGTTTGGGCTTTTTTTTCCGAGAATTTCGTCCCTTTGGGAACGGTCGCAGCCTCCGCGCGCCGCTCGCTCTCTATTAGGAAGAGAGAAGAGAGGCTTTAACAACGTACACACACACACACTCATATTATATATATAAAGAAGAAAATAACTGAACCAGCGAAGACTGAACCAACCAACCATCCATCCATCCATCCGCCTTTCCAACGCAGCTGCAAATGCCAACCAGACCAAACCAGAAGTGACGGCCATCTTACAGAAGAGAGATCACAGAAATGAAGAAAATCTAATAGTAAAGCGAATCAATCTACCAATACCAATTAAAATGACCAATTTTGGCACCGTACGTCAAAAGAGATATTCCAAAATAACAAAATCATAAATATGTCAAAAAAAATAAATGAGAAATGAAATCGATATTCTGAATTGGTTCTAAAACGAAAGGAGAGATTGTGTTACACACGTTCATATCAAATTTAAATGCGTTCATCATTTTCTATAAGCTATATTCAAATTTTAAATTGATACTAATGTCAAAATTGACATTAAGTAAACTGTAAACTTTTATTTTCTTTTAAAACAAAACATTCAAAATCGGGCCTAAACGCGAGAAAATCTTAAATCGTTTAAACTTTTAGATTATTTCAAATGCAAATATTCTGAAACTGCATTCCAAGATGTCAACAATTCAAATTCGACAAGATCTATTAGCAACAGAATTATCATTTCTTGTTTGAAAATTTCAATGAATTTAAATTTGGTTGCTATGCTGCTATCTAAACAGAGCGGTAATTATTTGAAATACTCAAAATTACAAGAAGACACAGTTGAACAATTGTTTTTGTGTAAAGCAAAAGAAAACATCTACGATTTTGAGCAATTGTTGCGAACGAACGAGGTAGGTCAATATTGAAAAAAAAATAGGAATTCGTGAGATAACCGCGCGCGAATTTATCGAAATCGGCGGCGTCTCGGGAAACAGAGAGATTTTTTCATAACCTACATAGAAAATGCAAACACGAGCAAAACGGAAGCTGTCACTATCGAAAACAAATGTATATATGTATATTATCGTATGGGTGTGTGCGTATCATATATACACTCACACATGTATTCGAAATAAAAATACGAAACGCACATGACGTGTGAGACGGGTGGGGGACTCTCCACTGCTGCTCTCTAACCTAGAAAATTGGTTTTTTGGAAAATTTCGAAAGGAAAACGCTCGAATACGTGTGTTTGTGTGTGCGCGCTTGATGTGCAAAATCCACGGCACGCGCGTTTATGTAATGCAATTAATTTTTTCGATCGTTGTTGTTGTTTCTTAATGTTTCCTCTCTCACTAAGGAGGAATATATGCGATAGAATGAGCGAGAGAATGATATATTTAGTGAGGGGGACCGACTTACCTTCTGATTATCGTCCGTGTGAAATGCGTCGGGTATGATGATAAATCCGTGGACTATTTTTACACAACAAATATAAACATAAAACATTTTCCGTTTTCCCCGTTTTCGTCAGCACTGAACCAGCAGCAACTTCATCATCAACATCATCATGATCGTCGTCGTCGTGGCCGCACTCACAGAAATACAACACACTAAACACTGCTGCCCGCCAGCACACACACAACACCACTCACGCGCGCCTACCTCTCCTCCTCTTCCACCGGATCCGAAGAGAAGAAAGACGATCGTACCGAACGAACTCTGCTGCTCCGCTCCACCGATGTTGCTGCTGCTACACTCCTTCAGCCTCGCAGCACTACTGCTGCTGCTTCTGACGACGATGATGATGATGACCGTTTCCTCAACAAGGAATCGCGATGACAACAGTAGATGAGGATCGTCGTCAAGGAGAGCAAACGCCTGCTCGGATCCACGCTGTAAAACGATTAATATTACCGAAAATTCTTGTTTGTGCGTGTGTATATACTGACGTTACGTTTAATCCACTACTGCCGTTGTTTACTATCTTCTCTCTCACTTTCTGTTTTGCTCGCTCCAGTCTTATTCTTTCGAGGGGTTGTTGCTGTTGCTGCTGCTGCTGCTGCCGCTGTTGTTGTCGTTTGATGGAGCGGAAATGAATAGGAGAGGTGCGAGAGCGAATGAGGAGCGGGAGTGGGGATGGACGGACCGAGTGTTGTCCCGAAAAAAAAAAGAAAAAAGGTGGCTAATAATCGGAATGAATGAATGGGATAGAAAATGTAATGATATAAGTGCGTTCGGTGGGAGGGAATTGAAAAGGGTCCAGCGGTGGGGGTAGATGTTGTGTTAGGGGGGCAGAAATAATAAATAAATAAGAGATGGAACGAAACTCGGCTGCTGCAGCTCGCCTCCACCACCACCACCACCGTCGTCGTCGTAGTCTCTTCTACTGCTCTCGCTACTAATAATAATAATGATGATAGTGTTTGCAACAATAATAATAATGTTAAAAGACAAAGACGGCGATATGAAGCGCGAAGTGTGTGTGTGTGTGAAAGAGAGAGAGATAAAGATAGAAGGACGCAAAGGAAGAGCGCGTCGTTGTACGTGTATTCAGCCGACCGTCGCCATGAGACAGGCACACACTGAACGAGGAACAACCAAGGAACGGGCTCAGGGCAGGAGGCAGCAAGAGGAGGCCTTGCTGGCTGCCTGCGGCCGGCCGAACGTGACATAGAAAAGCGCACGATCGACGCGCTACCTGCCGGACGGAACGCGCGCGACAATCGAACAAACGTCAACGTTTAAACAATTTCGATTGACGAATGTCTCAATCGTTCAATTCGAATAAAATACACACACATACCTATCCATATCCTCCAACATTCCTGTATTCTCTGATATAAGTTTCCATTTTCGCTGTAGATCGTCTCCAACGTACGTACGGGGTGGACGAACGCGAAGTGCGAATTATCACTAAACTGCACTAAACGATTAAGTGGTGCAAACTTTGTGCGATTAAAATTGCTGCTCTAAACTGAAACAAAAAAAAAACAAACAAACTTAAATTTGACGTTTCAAAAATTGTTTTAAAATATTTAAAGATGTTGGCCTAAAGGCAATTTCTTTTCAAATAAACGTTATAAAAGTAAAGAGCAGATAAATATACCTGGTATAGTACGGCTTCGATCAGTCCGGATCTGTTATTGTTGAAAACTTAAAAACAAATTCTTCTTGCATGTTCGCAATGCAACTAGAAAACGATTAAATGTTGCAAACTTTATGCGATTAAAATTGCTGCTCTAAACTAAAACAAACAAAAAACAAAAATCAAACTTAAATTTGACGTTTCAAAAATTGTTTTAAAATATTTAAAGACCTAAAGGCAATTTCTTTTCAAATAAACGTTATAAAAGTAAAGAGCAGATAAATATACCTGGTATAGTACGGCTTCGATCAGTGCGGATCTGTTATTGTTGAAAACTTAAAAACAAATTCTTCTTGCATGTTCGCAATGCAACTAGAAAACGATTAAATGTTGCAAACTTTATGCGATTAAAATTGCTGCTCTAAACTAAAACAAAACAAACTTAAATTTGACGTTTCAAAAATTGTTTTAAAATATTTAAAGATGTCGGTTTAAAGACAATTTCTCTTCAAATAAACGTTATAAAAGTAAAGAGCAGTTAAATATACTTGGTATAGTACGGCTTCGATCAGTCCGGATTTACTATTGTAGAAAACTTCAATACAAATTGTTCCTGCATGTTCGCAATGCAACTAGATAATGATTAAGTGTTGCAAACTTTTGCGATTAAAATTGCTGCTCTAAACTAAAACAAAAAAACAAAACAAAAATCAAACTTAAATTTGACGTTTCAAAAATTGTTTTAAAATATTTAAAGACCTAAAGGCAATTTCTTTTCAAATAAACGTTATAAAAGTAAAGAGCAGATAAATATACCTGGTATAGTACGGCTTCGATCAGTCCGGATCTACTATTGTAGAAAACTTCAATACAAATTGTTCCTGCATGTTCGCAATGCAACTAGATAATGATTAAGTGTTGCAAACTTTGTGCGATTAAAATTGCTGCTCTAAACTAAAACAAAAAAAAACAAAAATTAAACTTAAATTTGACATTTCAAAAATTGTTTTAAAATATTTAAAGTTGTCGGTTTAAAGGCAATTTCTCTTCAAATAATCGTTATAAAAGTAAAGAGCAGTTAAATATACTTGGTATATATAGTACGGCTTCGATCAGTCCGGATTTACTATTGTAGAAAACTTCAAAACAAATTATAAGTGGTGCAAACTGTATACAATTAAAATTACTGTTTTAAACCAAAAACAATCGAGATTCAAAATCTGATATTTACAAATTTCTTTTGAAAAATTTCAAATAAACGTATTAAACGTAAACGTGCGTTGTTTAGACGAATGAATATTGCTGTACAAGTTTGTTTATTGCTTTTATTTTTATTGCGTCTAGTAAAATATATAACCCTTGGTGAAAATATTGAGGAAAAAACCTAAATCGTAAATCACAATTCAATAGGTTTCTTACCAAAACCGACTAACTCTCAGGTATAACTTATATCGGCAATAAACCAACAAATCGTTTAAACTGTGAAGAAAGTTAAATCCTTGTCAATAGAAAGTGAAAACAGATTTTAAGCGAATCACCCTGTATGTGTAAATTTATATGTGGGTTTGTAAGTGTGCTACAAAAGGAAAGAGTTGGCAAACTACAAAGACTGCCGCCGCCGCCGCCTCTTAAATGACACCTCCACTATAAAAGGATCGGGGGCGGCTGTGGTGGCGGCGGCGGCTTTTGTGGCACGTGATCCACGTTAAATCGTCGTCGTCGGCGGCGGCTGTGATCGCTGCACACAGAAGCGCACCCCTTCGGCCAATTTTCTGACCGCTTTCCATATGTTCCCTTTGATCTTCGCCGAATCAAAAGGAGCGAAAGCGTGCCCGACCACACGGACCCCCCGCATCGCACCGCACCTCACCCGCCGCCCCTAATCAAATGAATAAATATCAAACCGAGCGGGCTAATAAAATGAATAACTCCGTCGATTTACTCCTATAAACTGTTTTGCCACCCTCTCGACACGACGCCAACAGGAATAAAAAATAAAAAAATAAAATCAGAGTGTATAAATAAAAGATCAAAGAGTGTGCAAAAC